TGCGACTTGAGAGAAGACATCCCTCCTAGGCAGGCCCAACACCAGCACCACCTGTTTACACTAGTGGGCTATTTGCTTCCATAGTTTAGGTTAGTGCTAAAAAGAGAGGTTATTTTCCATACACATGGATCAGAAGGAGAGGAGAGGACAGTTCACTTTAGAGTACAGAGCAGGGGAATAAAGATGCCAGTCAATACATTTTAGTCAGCGCSAGCTCACAGTTTCCACTTGAGAGAACAGGGCAGCATACACACAACATAAGGTAACAATGACAAGATACAAAGACAATTTTAAAATCACCATATAAGACCAATACAATCCTCACATACATGATAGATAAAAAAAAATACAATTGTGAATACTGAGAAGTATGAATAGTCTAAGGTTTGATTTGATAGATTTGAATTGCCAATAACCTGCTAACATATTAAATTGGCAATTTATTTAGAAAGTTGGACCTATACAACAAAGTACTAAAATAAAAAAGGTCTGGACACAAAGTAGGCTGGATTGTTGTACATTAATGACTAACCTTGAAGCATAAGAGTGGTTATCTTAAGGGCTCAGTGTGTAACATTTAGGTAAAAGGGATCTATTGGCAGAAATTCAATATAAAATAATTCTACTCGTGTTTTCACAAGTGTGTTTCATCTAAATTGTACACATTGTTGTTTTCTTTACCCTAGAATGGGCCCTTTGTATTTAAATACTTTACATTTACATCGGGAGTGGGTCCTCTTAACGGAGGCCGCCATGTTTTTTTACAGTAGTCCAGACTGGACAAACTTAACACCTTTTTAGTAGACAACTGGAAGCTACCACAGGTTCTCTTTCATGTTTGGAGGGTGAGGTGAGGGGTATTCAGCTGCAACATGCAACTTCACTATTAGAGGTCAGTATATTCTACACACTGAACCTTTAATTGATAAATTTTTTTGAATTTTATTATCTTTTATCTTGCTGTCATTTCCTACATTTTCAGCTATGTAACAGCTATGTAAGACAGCAGAATTGATATCAGTAAACCACTACACCTGTACTAAAAGAACATCCACACACAAGCACTTTGCAAGCAGCTAAGGAAAGCTGTTGTAGCTCTTAATCAACAGACATCCATGAATTCATTATTTGACAAAGATAAACAAACTGTTACCTTTGTTTAGTTTGAACATCCACAGTCTGTCCTTACCTGCACAAGGAAGATGATAAGGAAGTAGAAATTGGCAATTCTTCTAAACTGCTCGAACAGGTTCTTTGGAAGAAAGTTCCAAACCGTATACTGCATTGAGTAAACAGAGAAAAACATGCATGTAAGCCACAGAAACTGGTATTACACTTTGCTGATTAATTTTTGTTGCATAATATTCCCATTCAGACCTGATGTTCTCAACCACACTTAGGAAGGTTAAAGAAAAGAAGGCAAGGGGAGAGAGATTAGAGGCATTCAATATTCAAACACTCTTGAATATGTATATTCTGTCTAAGCTACGGAAGGGGAAGAAGGAAGGCAACTTCAATTGCTAGGAGTCTCTGTTCTTTGTACTGCCTAGGGAGATGGCCCATAGGGCACCACAGGTATTCCATTGATTCAGATTTGTGATTTATCTCTAATTTGGCTACCCTTGAATGCAGAGCCAATGAACTTATCGCGCTGGTGACTATTTCTGTGAGTTTTTCTCTTCCTTTTTTTAGGTAGCTGTGACGGCTGATAACATCACGGCTGAAACAACGCTTTTATCTGCTTAAATCCCTGGGAGATGGCTCGACAATACCCTGCAAGCAACTTTGTGCCACAGAACAGTACCAGGGTGAAAAACACATACACATGCATTCACACACTCACCCACACACATTTGCAGAGAAACAGCAATAAGGCACTGTTTATGAAGGGGAATGTCTGCATGGGGAGAGCGTTGAAATGCAGAGGCAGCAGAATGACCCATCTCATTTTGCCAGAGAAAAGAGAGTGAAAGTAATGAGAAAATGGGGTGGCAGCGGTGAGGGTGGCTGAGTGTGGTGGTGGTGTAGCAACAAGAGCAAGAGGGAGAGGCGGAGATTGGTCATTGAAGAGTGCAAAAGCAACAAGATGATGGAGGGCAAAGGCATGGAGGAGCATAAACCCCACAGCCAGGGTAATTAAAGACTGTTTACCCTGACATACTGGCAGGAGCCAATTGATAGGCCCATCCTCACTGGGACCCTCTGCACCACTATAAATCCTCAGCTGTCTTACTCTCACACCGCTTCTTTCTCCACATCACTTTCACCCTTCATATTCAGAAGCCAGCAAGCCAGCACCTGCCCGAGTCGGCTGCTGACACAGGGCTGAGAGGTGACATTTAGACAAGGGTGGAGTATAATCTATCAGAGCCTAGGGGGAAACAGCCAAATTGCCCACCCTGCCAGTACATTAATAGCACCTATGTATTTCACTGCTACAGCCAGTGACGGACAAATAGTCGACTTCTGTTTAGAGTGAAGACAAGCATGTGGACAGGCAGTGGGAGGAGGAATACAGAAAGGAAGGCATGGGAATGCTCAGGATTGTTCAAGGCTTCATTTTGCATTCCAAGTGTTAGATAAGAGAAGAAAATTGCCTGAAAGCAGTTAAATTGTATCACACAGCAGAGCTGAGATACAAAGGTATAGGAATTTAATCTTGGTGTATGGCCAGACTGGAGCCCTGGTTGGTACATGCTTCTTACCTTGGCGGACACAATCCTGTTATCACAGAACTTGGGTGGGATGATGGCCTCATTTGAGGAGCCTGACCGATGTCCAACATAGATAGTCCGTTGGTCTGCTCTTCTCTCATCTCTGCCAAGCTAGAGGAGGAAGCAGAAAGGGAGAGTGGACATGTGAAAAATCAGGATGCAGAGAGAAAGGAAAGGGAGTATATGTTAGTAACTCTTGGTGCTTCTGTTCTCAGATATCAGATAACAGATATCACACAATGAAATAACCCACAATCTTCATGGCAGAAGAATAATAGTTATTTTCATCAAGATTAATGTATTATTTCAGTGGAAATTGGCGTAAATGTAAAAAGTAAGTAAAAAAATACATTCCTGGAACTACCCCTTTGTCCAGATCCATGCTAAAGTTTAATCGATAGCAATAAATAAATGAAAACAAAACTCTTGTTTAATAGTGTGTTGTTATTTCAGATGCAGCAAATACACTTTGATCACAAAGGACTTTCTTGTGACCACAAAATGTCCCTAGTTTTAAAGGTCTAAATTCCACTTAGAGGTCAAGAATTAAAAGATTAGAATTTCTACTCTGGTGCAGAACATTAAGAAAGACTTGAAAAGCACTCTACCAGAAAACTGTTGAGCACAAGCCAATAATTCAGTGAGGGGACAAAGAAAAGTATGGCAAGGGTCAACGGGCCAAAATTGTGATTGTGTGGGGACTGTAACTTAATTTCTCTCTCCCTGGTGGTCACTTGCCGAAGATAAACAAGTAATAAATGTCAGCAGCCAGGAGGAAACACGCACACACACCGCACACACACCGCACACACACCCACACACACAC